CTAGCCCCTAGACTGTGAGAGAATGAATTTCTGCTTGTTAAAGCCATCTACTTGTGGTATTTCTGTTGTAGCAGCACTAGATAACTAAGACACATCCCTGAGGAGTATTTTACTAGTATACACCAGGTAACAGACTTGCAGACGGATTTGGGGATGAGAAATTGAAGGCTGAAAAACGGCCAAAGAAAAGGAGCTGGAAAGTCCTGAAGAATGTGGAGCTTGGGAAGGGCTTCTAGAGTAGAATGGCGAGCATTTTGATTAACAGAGGGAAAGAATATGTCCTGGGAATGATAGGCTGTTGATTGGGAAAGGCAATAGGGGGATGAAGGGGATTGGGATCCAAAAAGACTCCAAGGTTATAGGGAAAGCGTAACTGGAAATACTGATGAGTTGGAGGCAAACAGCAGGTAACTAGAAGTGGTCAGCTAGAAGCTGGACACACAGGAAATACTTGAGAGATGACAATAAACATGAAATCCTTTAAAGTAGACGAGCATATAGGATATCAGGCAAAAAGTCCCTGATCGCCAAGACTTCAGGACTGTCCCCCTTTCAGAAGTGGTATTGGAGGGACCTATACCTTTATAGGGAGCCCTGGTGGCACAGTGGTTAAGAGCTCGGCTGCTAACCAAAAGATCGGCTTTTCAAATCCACCAGCCGCTCCTTGGAAACCCCATGGGGCAGTTCTGCTCTGTCTTATAGGGTCGCTATGAGTGGGAATCTACTCAATGGCAACTTTTTTCTTTTTTTTGCCTTTATAGAGGTGCTCTGGTGGTGCAGTAGTTAACTGCTCAGCTGCTAACCGAAAAGTCAGCAGTCTGAACTCACTAGCCACTCTGCAGGAGAAAGATGTGACAGCAGTGGTGTCACTAGCGTTGGTGTCACCCCCCCTCCCTCCAGCAGGGCCGGCTGGTGAAGCACCCCCACCCCCAGGACAGAGCCGCCAGGCCCCACCCTGCCCCCACGCAGGGCAGAGCGCCACCTACCCTCCGGGTCCCCCGCACCCCCCCAGCTCCTCCCCTTTCCCACTGGCCAAGGTGGAAGACCCTCCTCTCTGCCCAAGGGCCGCTGCCACAGCCTGGCGCCTGCACCCTAACAACTGCCAAGTGATGGAAGGGTGATGAGTTATCACACTGGTGACAGGTAACACCAACCCTAGTGACGCCACTGCCTTGGCGACACCTCCCCCAGCGGTGCTGGCCCACCCGCGGCCGCCGACTTGGAACCTAGGGTCATCTTGACGTCACCCACTCTGAAAGCGTCAGGGGGTACGGTACCGCATCCTCTTAGTAACGCCAGTGTGTGACCATCTGCTTCGGTAAAGAGTTACAGCTTTGGAAACGCCGTGAGGCAATTCTATGGGGTCGCTGTGAGTCAGAATGGACTCAATAGTAAAGGGTTTGGTTTTTGATTTGAAGGAGCCCTGGTGGTGCAGTGGTTATGTGCTCATCGGCTAACCGAAAGGCTGGCGGTTTGAAACTACCTGGCAGCTCCATGGGAGAAAGGACCTGGCTATCTTCTCCCATAAAGATTACAGCCTAGGAAACCTTATGGGGCATTTCTACTTTCTCCTATAGGGTCGTTAGGAGTTGGAATAGACTCCACTGCACGCAATAACACACCTTTATAGGCAGATGGGTGATAATACCACCAAGAATCCTCACATTAGCCAGCACTCCAAGGGTGCTTGAACTGTCATTAATCAGTGCTACATCATGCTAATCATCCTTCTCTTTAAGAGCCCAGAATACTTAGCTTGTAGAACGAGCATCTGCATGCTAGGAAACAACTAGGTGATTACCACAAGGGAAAAATATTTCTTCCTTCTTGTGGCTAGACAGCCTAGTCAAAAACACTCCCCAAAACCCCAAGGCTTCACCTCTCACTCCTTCGGTGCTGCTTACCTTTAGGGTATTGTTTCTTAACTCAGAAGGATTAAATAAGTGCCCCTAATCCTTAATTCATTTAAAGAACCCTAAAATTTGCTCTAGGATTTTGATTAGAATTGGATTATAGATCAATTTGGAAATAAGTAGTATCAATATTGCATCTTCTCCACCACCACAGAAGTCCTAGAATTGAGTCCTGTTAGTATTGCTCAGAGTGTTCTAAGTTAAATTATGGTCTGAGCAAATGTCTTCACAACTCTGTCTCCTAAAACAGTAAAGTGAAAAAAACAAAGAGTGCTGGAAAAACAGACCATCAGACCAGAAATCAAGGGAATTCCTGGTACATAGAAAACAGCCATCACTACCATCCACTAACCTATATAATTACCCAAGAAAGAGAAAATGAGGTATAAATATTGGAAAAGAAGAAACAATTGTCATTATTTGCTGGTTACCTAAAACTTTGTGACTTTACCTAAAAGTTAGAACTAGTGAGAGTTCAAATTAGTCAGATTTAGAATCTACATTAAAAAAATGTTTTATGCTGTTGATAAAATAGGTATAGAAGGGAAATTTCTCAACATAATGAAGGAATCTATGCAAAACGAACAGCCAACATCATTCTTAATGGAGAGAGGCTGAAAACATTCCCCTTGAGAACAGGAACAAGAGAAGGATGCGCTTTATCGCCATTCCTATTTAACATTGTGCTGGAAGTTCTAGCTAGAGCAATAAAGCAAGAAAAAGAAATAAAGGGCATCCAAATGAAGAAGTTAAACTGTCCCTGTTTGTGGATGATATGATACTATACATAGAAAACCCTAAAGACTCCACAACAAAACTACTGGAACTAATACAAAGATTCAGCAGAGTAGCAGGATA